AACGACTAGGAAGGGGTACCTATTTCCTCGGGTTCTGGGCCTGTTTCTCATAATTTTTCCTTCTTTACTGTACCACTCACCATCTTTAGCTTAATTTGAAGTGGGTTGTTTTTTTCATCGCAATCTACCTTTAAGTCGGACAAATGGTCTCAGCATCAAACTTCCACAGAGTCCTGTCTATGAGTTGACGCACCCCTACTGGTGACTCCATTCGTTTTATTTAGCCCTGATGATGACAGCTTTGTTGGAATACTGTCCGTCTACTATCTATCACATTGGCGACAGAGCGGTGGATACTATATCCCGCGCCTTGCAGGCCACGTCGGACCGTGCGGGGATATGTCTCCCGCACCCATTCCATCATTTTTTTTTCGCAGATGCACGACTTCTTCCGAAGTTTTTTGTTTCTATTTTATAGATCGGATATTGATATAACTATAAACGTTGTGGTCCATGGAATAGTTAAATATGCTTCGATTCTACAAAGGTTTTCCAGAACTCGTGAACACTTCACCTCAGCTCAAACTCACAGCTCTTAAGAAAGAAGTAAAATTGTGAATATTTGAATGTTTGGCCAAAACGTTGAGAACGATAAATTTGCCAAGTTGTAAGAAGTTCCAACTTTATAGTAGAAAACGTATACGAACACTCTTCAACAAGGTCTTCAATTTGATCATTTTTGTAACCCAATAGGCGCTTACTCAATCTCTGCTGGAAGAGCCACTCTGTTGGTGCTTTTATCATGTAAGCTAACTTACTTAGTCACCGCTCTCTAAGTTCGAACTTCCAAAAACGGCCTTGTTGGACCGTGCGGGGGATATGTATACCGCGACAAATGCGGTCGCAAAATTGCGTCGGTCCCACATGGCCAAAAACACCAAAACTCGCATTGTCGTCAATGTGCTATCCATCTTACATGTGATTTTCCTGGACCACAGTTTCAGCGCCTCCTACACCTGAAAATTCAGTTTGCAAGGGTAGATTAGGTTCCTGGCTTCCTCAACAGTTCGAGGGGTCATTGAACAGAGTTTTAAGAATGCTCTTTCTTAACAACTTCCCATGAAATTGGATTATGCTTGAAGAATGCGCAATAACTACTTGCCAGGATCCCGTAAATTTTGATTTATTGGAAAGAATGTGCGGACGTTGTGGGAAGGTGGGTGGCCAGTCAACCAAGCGTATGGCCTGGAGGTCAAATAAGAAACGAAGCCTGCTCAGGCCCATCAAGCATGGGTTTTTCCGGAATGCAATTATTTAGCGAGTTCGAAGCGCTCTGGGATATTTTTTTCTACACAAGGGATTGTACTTGCCTGATAATCATGCAAATTCCACCAACATTCTGAATGAAATTTGAATACGTGAAACACGAATACATACAAAAAAGGTCAGCCCTTCTTTATGTGGATGGGTTCAGCTCAGAATTCGACTTAGTTCGAGAAAAAATTCATTCAGTTGATCTCGAATTTCAACGCTGTTTGGAAGATAGGAATATGTGGACACATTTTCTGACTAGCACGTGTCACTTCCATTCGTTTTTTGCGAACACCAGCTCCGTTCTCTTAGTTTGCCAGCCTGGTCTGTTCAAGTCACTCCACTTTTATGTTCTAGTGATAGCGATCGGTCGCCATTGTCGGTCACTCTCCATTGGATTGGCGCGTTTCGTAGCGAGCCTGCCTTGGTCGGCAAACCCGTTGTCCTATCTTACAAAGGTGCCGCGGGAAGCCCTTCCGTTCTTTTTGCCACACAGCCAGCATGGCGACGGCAATTGCCTTTTTCACTGTTTGTTACTTACCTTTTTTATTTATTTCATTTTTTCATTTTTTCCTTTTTCCACTTTCTGATTTTGCAAATGATGTTCGTTGTACCAACGTCATCAGTTTTGAAGCTTTCACGGTGTCTGTTTCGAGGATTTTGTTGAAGGGTTTTAGAAGCGAAAGGGTCATAGATACATTACCGAAGCCTTACAATTCTCGCCGATGTGACTGGTGGTCTGTTGTGTGTTTGCGTTTTGACCAACTCGTTTTTGATCGCTAGTCAGTGCCTGATCAAATCCTTCCCAGTCTTTAATGCTCTGTTCTTTAATGCTCCTGGCGTTCGTTTACTTGGGGGCGGGGTGGGGAGCGTTTGAAATCAAGCCGGTGCTATACAAGTAGGGTGGGCACGCCGCATTTTTTGAACAGAAATGTATGTAAGTGGGACTGCTGCCCGCTACTATACTGTCACGAGAATCGGGGAATTCGTGAGCCAGGGGGAGTGTAGCCAATCTAGGGGGTGGGGCAGTCACTTGACATGCGTGAAAAGCTGGGCGTGCCCACCCCACTTGTATAGAGCCATTACGCCAAACATTTTGTTTAATTTTTAACTTCACTTGATCAAGGGACGAAGATTTTGGAGCTAGAAAGAACTCTGGAAATGACGCAGAAACCTTTCTGTGAGCTGGGTATCAAAAGCCCTGTTTGCCACCATTCCTTCTCCCCCCAAAATTGCTCATCTTCCCGACTCACAGTTGCTTCTTCACACCATTCTGCACCGAAAATCGTGCAATATAAAAAAGCGACGTAATGGTATGGAAAGTGAATTCATGGCATTTCGTAACTTTGCACAAACTATTGCTTCAAAATGTCATCACTCCTCCCACCAAGTATGAGCGCCATATTTTCTTCAGCTTCGATATTTATTTTACTTTTTCCAATATTGAGAATTTCTCTCGGTGAGTGACTCTTTCTTCGAATCGCTCTGATTCTGACCCCCCCCCTTCACTTTCACTTTGCCTCTCTGCAGGCTTCGATGGTGTCACTTACAATTAAGGAACGATGTAGCGTACCGAAGGTGGACATTTAAAAATAAAGGTCCTGACCCACCCATGAATTGAAGGTCAGAATCAAATAATACCTCTTCTCTTGAATTTTCTCTTGGAATACTTAAAAAAGGATAAAGCATTTGCCGTTGATCAATCCCTGGGATGCGGCACGCATTCTACTTCCATTTGTACATTCGTAGTGGCGTTTGAATGCGATGTGGCCTATACAATGACTTGCGGGGGCCAGCCGATGTACAAGTCAGTGTTTTTATCCTCCCAGACAAGTCTGGTACCAATTAACCGACCCCGGAGGGATGGAAGGCTTGGTTGGCCCGGGCGACTCACGACCCAGGATTTGATCCCCGGACCGCTCGCGTGGTAAGCGTGCCACTTGCCACTACACCACTTCCGCCCCCTATTTGACTGTAATTCAGATTCCCAGTTCTATTCAACTTCAATTTTGCCTTTGCAATAAGTGGAAGGGCGAGCACGCGCCCAGACAATTCCAGCACCAGCAAGCCGAAGAAGGGAAGGAAAACTTGTTGACTGGGTAGGATTCGGTCTGTCTCAAAGTTGACATTTGGATAACATGCGGTCACTGTCGCTGACCGCTCCTGTCACTAGGCCATTTCGATCGACGACTAGTACATACTATACCCATGCAGAATTGGGTTGTCCCATTAGAAGTGTTGTTTTTTTTTCCAACAGACTGTTCGGGATCCCTTAGTTTTCGAGCCATATCATACATTCGGAAGAGATTTGCCTACTCTACAAAGCGGCGTTTTTTTATGCCCACTGCAGAGTTTTTGAACTTTGATGAGATGATGAGCAAAATGGGAGATCCAGTCGCAAAAATTAAGCGATCGACACTAACTCTAACTCTATTCTTCTGTAAACCCCCAGGAGAAATCGACCAATGATTTACCCTGTACTCAGAGACAACGTCTCCTGAACTATATGGTTTCCCAAAAAGTCGCGTAATTCCTTTTTCAAATTTAGTTTTTCTGCCTGGGCTTGATGGTCAAGTATTATGGCATTGAGTATATAACCCAAAATTTTTTATACTGAAGGCGTCCAAAGCTAGTGGAATGGCGGCAGCAAGACGTCATAAGAACGAAATCATGACAGATTTGTTTCACCATATTCAGGAGAATTTTTTTTGATGTAATTGGGCCTTTCTTTTGAGTTGGGCACTTTATCACATAGGATTTGAATTCGGCCTAATCATAATGAAAATTGGAGCAAAACATTTCGTCGGGAAAGCCAAAAAAAGAAACCCACCGGCCATATATCAATTGACGAAAAAGGATGGCATTCAAAGAAAATTTTCGCTTCACAAACCACTATGGCTTAGCGGCCATCCCGAACAACCAAATTCGAAGAGAAACACGACAAAGCTTTTTTTACAACATAATAATGGGCTGTTGAGAGCTTGTGCCTTATCAGAGAGTACATCACTGACCAAATTTCCTTATGATGTCAAATTCCACGCTAAGCCTGACACTACGTTCTTTGTAAAATTTGAATCTCAGGCCTGTGAAATGAGAAGTCCCATTGTTAAAAATTAGCCAATCGGACAATAGATGAACTAGTTTTCCGTTTGGCTAATTTTTAGCAACGGGACTTCTCATTTCACTTCTCATTTCACAGGCCTGAGATTCAAAATTTTACAATTTTTACATTACCGATGGGGCAACCTAATACATACGCTACTATAGCGAATCAAATGATACCCTATTTTAACGCACTTGTAAAGTACTGGTATAGCTTGAAGAACTACCCGAATTTTGTCACAGTTCAGCGACCAGAATCGTAGTATTGGCTGTCTCCTTACTGGGCGAAGCGCATCTCTGGTCTGCTCTGCTCAAGTCATCTAACAATAAGTGTTCCATCAATTTGCCGTCGGTTACTTGGTTACGAATGTCTTTGGGGGCAAAAGCCCTGACTTGCACATGGATAGCTCCGCAAGCCATTGTGATGAATAAATTACTTTCAAATAGCACTACCCTTCTGAGTGGAAGTCACGTGAGTGGTTCATTCTAAGTGGGTCAGTGACCACCGACAGCATCGACTTCTAGTAAGAGCTATCATAGATAAAATCTTGGCTTTCGGTTGTTCGCCACCGAGCGTGTCTGAATAGACTTTTAACTCTGCGTTCGTACCTCTTTCAGGTGCTTATTACCATACCTTGCCGATCAGCATGAATCGGGTGCTTCGTGGAGTGGTGAAATTTCGTCAAACAATCAGGAAAGATCTTATTAAACAATTCGATGAAGTCAGCAATCATCCAAAGGTTCATCGATTCAGATTTTGCTCTTAATTATGCTCCCTGATCGCCTCAGTTCGACCTAAAAAATAACTGTACCTCAACTATGGCTGCATATCGACTGTCCGGGGTGGCTTGTTTCCTAGGCAAATAAAAACGCTGTTCTCCTTATACCTTTCGTCCGAACTCAGCTATCTATGAAGATGTCTGATCGCCATATCTCGCTCTGCGTAGAATTTACGGTCACCTTTTAGTGATTCTCTCGCACCTCCCTTTTGGCGACTTTCACGAAAGTTGGCTGTTAACAGACCTAAAGTGTCGCAGACGAAACTCTCAAAGTGACATTAATGAACTTGCATTAAAATGAACGGTGTTGCATCTCTCCATAGGTGAGTACTGACGGTCAAACTTCGTCATATTAAAGGTCACATAGGCCACCACATAACCCTTCTCTGGGCACAAACGTGTTTCTTTTGGAAGTGGCGCGTCATGTAAAAATCTGCACTTACTTGTGAATCAACCTAATAGATTACATCACATGCAGTGATTTCACGGATGCATTCAAGAATCCGACGTTTGGCTAAATGCACTCTTTTTCTTTATACTTTAATTTCTTTTTTTTTAAATTGTTGGATATAGTAAGTTACATAGGTACACATCAATCTCGAACTTATGTGCTAAATCTAAATAAATGTGCACTATTTTGTGTCGCCTGTTGCAATCCCAGTTTTCGCAAAGAACGAATCTTGGGGAAAGGAAAACGGGATGGTTCAAGTACGTATCCCAGCTTTTTCCCCTTGCAAAGACTCCAAAAACTGCAAAAGCTTCCTTTAATAACATGGCCCCTTTGCCTGTTTAAGACTTCGAAGAAGCATATTAGGATTTTTTTATTGGCTCGCCTTGCAGCTTTACGCTGGCCACGCGGTCCTTGTAGTGCGCCAAAGCGAATAAATACCATAGTTGTTGCATTACTACAAGACGTCTCTCTTGCTCACACTTGGGGTTCGAACTCCACCTCTCCACTCTTGACCGACCAATCGTCCGTTTTGATGTCTCCTGATCTTGAGTGGGAGTCGAGGATGGCGCAATCCGATCTTGATGGACTCAAAGGAGTCGAAGCACGAGCGGCTGGAGCCAAATGAGCTGTGCTGCCATCGTCTGGACGAGAGGCTTTTCTGCAGGTGAAGACGCGGCAAGCGGGGGATATGAATGCATAGCTTAGGTGTAGCTGATAAGTCCTTCAAACGTCTTACAAATGTAAATATAAGTGTCTGATCAGCTAGTAGATAAGAAAAAGCTATTGAAAACCTCTAACCATACTAAAAGATGCAAAGTGAATCTCGTTGCATTTTGCAGCAACCATACATGATAGAAAAGAAAGTTAAAGGCCTACGTATGTCATAAAAACAAGGACAGGTGGTCTACTGCATCCTGGTCAAAGTGACGCTGAATTGTTACAGACAGCAAAACAAGTACCGAACTTGGGCGTGAATGGGTGTAAACTCTCAATGGGTGTTAACTTTTCTAATCTATCTTGAATTCTTGTGGCCATGTTTGATAATAGATAAAACTTTTAATTCCATTACTGCAATTTTGCGCTTCTAAGGTCGAGTTCGTCTCAAATGGGTATGGATCAGCGGTGTCGGCACGCGCCACCCCTTGTGCTGAGCACGAGTCATCACGATGATGATCTAAATAGTTTGATATCAGTGCTCCACCACAACTGGGGCCCCTTGTGCACACCCACCTCAACAACACTACCACTACATACTAATTAGTTACATGAGAGCGTTTTCAGCCAACGGCGGTGATGTTCACGTGCATGGACTCTCGAATGCTGCCTGCTCGTTTCACCCAATCGAATGTCGGTGACATGTTTGTGGTGCGGAATGCTGGAAATATGATTCCCGATGCCCCTCACTATGGTGTGATATTCATCATTCATTTATACTTTGTGTGTCTGACTTATGTATTAGGTTGTCTCAGAGGTTCGTGCGTATTTTGAACCTTTTTTAAGCCTACTATATTTCGCGTACATGCACTATCTATCATCTATATATGCACCATCACTATCACTGATCAACTTCCAGAAGGCTGGCAGTTACGAACTGAAGAAGGCTGTGGGGTCAATTTCGAGGTATTGCCCATGAAAATCGCTTTTTTGTGCGGAAGATGATAGCTGAGCAAAAAGAGCACACGTCCTTCGAATGAGGGTTGATCATCGCTGCACGATGGATATGGTAGGACTTTTCGGCAAGCCTTGATATCTAGAGTCCTTTTCGAAAGCGTCGTCTCGGTTGTCGTGAGCGGACATACTTTTTCGAGTTTTGAGAGCAGTTGTTGGAGTTTCGTCGTGAGTCTCTGCCGTTGATCATACTACACTTGGCTGACTCCATTGCTGTAATGAGAGAGATGCCTGTAGTGGTTAACTCGAGAACGCTCCAAAAAAGGCAGAACACGACCTTGTGGTGAATTTCTTCATTTTTCACCCTCTTCTGTTCGATCCAGTCCCTGGGATTCTAGGTGTGGTTGTCATGAAACCTGAGCTTCTCAACTGCAGTAGTGGCTTTGTTCAACCAGGGCGTACGGGTGGAGTAGGACACAAATTATAGACGGGACTCGTGTCGCACTCCTGTCATCAGTGGTCAATTCATGGGGAATCTTTGGCAAAGCTTCAACCATTCTACGAAGGAGCGAGAACCTCTACGAATTGTGCATCTGGAAACATCAGGATGTGGTTGCCACAAAGCAGGTAGCCCCGTGTGGAGTGGCTCCCACGAGAGAGCACAGATTCTCCAAATCCGACACTGATGGCCTCTCTGAACGAGGGTTTTTCTACCGGCTGTAGTCTCCTGAGCAAAGAAGATCCATCCATTCTGATACGTCACGGCTGGAAATGACAATGAGGCCTAGCGGCTTCGATCGGTTTGTTGCTTAGCAGAGGTTCTTGAGTCAGAGCGTGAAAAACATGGCTCTTTTCTTTTCCACTTTGAACTCGAAGAAGGCGACGATGGTGGGCATGATTCGGGTATAAGTTACTGCAAGTGTGCCCTATCCACAGCCTACGTGAACATATTTGAATTTTGAAGGAGCTTGTGGCATGAGATCCAAAAAATACGCACGAACTTTTGAGACAACCTTAATATTTGAGCTGTAGTGCAATTATTTGTTATATTCAGGTACTTCCTCTGAAGTCTCTGTAACCACTGAACCTGCTGCACTCGAACTGGCTGTCACAAGAGGAGGCATACGTCACATAATCGTCTGTGGACACTCGGATTGCAAGGTCTCATTGAGGATGCTAAGTGGGCGATCGGCGATCGATTATTTTGGTCCCTAAAATGCGATCAATTCCAGATATGGGAAAGGGATCATATCTGCAAGCATAGAGTTTGATAATCGTGATAGGAAATGGGTGCGGCTGCGCTAAAATTCATGGGGACAATGCATGGGGCGCGGAGGTGTTTCACACTAAATTCCTACCAGTTTGAATGCGCCATTACGAGAAGGTTCATTTTTGGTCTTAGGAGGGCAAACTGGGCTCTCCAAAGCGGTCTGTGCCTGGGAATCTATCGGTTCAACCGGAAAACTAGAGGGCTATCCATGGTGACTGGTGAAGTCGGGGATCTGCTCGGCGCGCTGATCCTGAATCACTCTCTGTCATTGTGCTGAGCGCTTCTGCTGGACCCGCCTAAACCTCTCACACGCTCGTGATTTCAAACAAATATCGATTTTGAACACTGTTTGAACAATGTTAGAAATTTGAAAATTCGTCGAGAACGCGTTCGCATGGCGCTCTGATAGGGTTCGATGGTTGCACATTTCAGAGCGGAATACCGAGCCAACTTGCAACCATCGCTCACTAGAAGCGAAATGTTCAAGCAAGAATCATGGAGAAAAATTCTGCATGATAATTTTAGAAAATTCAAAATATATAAGTGCACCATCAATTCTGCCCCAGCCTGTAGTAGCGACGCCCCAGATGTTCTTGATCAGATTAAGACCAAACTTGATGTTTTGTGGTGGTAGCGGTTATTTTGAGACATTTGCGTGAATGGTAGCATTTTCCTGTTGAAACGTGTAAACTACGCCGCCGGCTTAGAAATGTACTAGATGTTGTACTAGTATTTCCAATAATCAGAAAAGTTCATTCTGCAAGTCACTAGGGGAGTTTTGCCACAACATCGTTACGGACTATCAAGGCCTTCACCTCCATCAAAACGAACAGTTAGGTTATGAAAATTGCCTTTACAGGTTACGCCAAAAATGCTATTATTCGTTCTCTCCGTAAAAGTTCTCCAAATTTAGCTGTTAAAACTCTTTTCCGCTTAGGAATTCCAACCTAGGTGAGATTAATCTGTTGTATGGCACGATCATAACGCAGGCTTTTATCTCTTCGTAGATATATCGTAGAGAAACGAAGCCATGCCTCTTCGTCGTGGCCAGTAAGCTTTGGGGCCATCCTCGCTACTTTCTCAACAATGTCACTGTCTCTTCTCACTACTCTTCAGACTGTATTTTTCGATACAGATAAGTTCAAGTAAGAGCAGGATTTGAGGGAAAATACTGTTTGTGACAGCCCTTGAAATTCTTACGCAATCGTTGAATGTGGCCTCGCTTGGGCGTCCAGAAAGAACATCTGTAGATAAGCGAACACTTCGAAAATCTATAAATTGAGCAATGAGTTATCCTATCTGTTTCGCAACGGCTCTTGTACCAGAACCAGCACCTCAGACTGATTACTCTTTTTTCATAGGCACTCCGAAGATGCAGTTCAAGAATGTTTTAGTGGCAGATATTCACTTTTACGGACACCTTTCATTGATCCTCATGACGGAGTGTTTATTTTTTAGGGTGAGCTTATAACTGTGAAAGGCTATGCACTTTTACCGAATTGGCCTGTAAAGTAAAAAGAGGCGTTCCTCATGAGGCTTGATCTGGTAGTTATGCGTCGCGCAGAAAGGGAGAGCAGGCTGAGATTTCTTGGAATATAGTTATAGAGCGTTCCTTGATATGCAAAAGCAAGCGTTTGTCGGGTTTCTTCATAGTCATCAAAATACAGTAGTGGCCAGAAATTTATGAACAAACGGTTTTTTCATGATTTCTCTTTTGAAAGTCACTGAACGTCTCCAAATTTGCAACAATTATTAACTACGTGTTTTATGATCCACACAGAAAATTTCAACCTTCAGCTCAAATTTGGGTTTAGAAAATTTTAGATTTTTCGAAATTAATGAAGGCAGGTGAAAGATCACTTGATCCGTTTATTTGATTTAAATAATGTATAACCCAACAGAACAGTCAAGTAAACAGTCACTAACATTAAGCAAGTCTAGCACATTGCCCAGAACTCTCTAAAGTATTGGATACATAAACTGGATTTGAATGCGGGGTCAACTAATGAACTCACTCTCTAGTGGGGTCTCTCTCTGTAGTCCCGTCTTTTCGTGGCTCTTTCATTGACATACGAATTTGTAGGTCCTCCCTGTGGTTCTGTAATGTTTGGCTCGGGTACCCCCCAGGAGGCCCGTCGCGCGGCAAGAAGGCAGAGTCGGCGGACGAGTTGCAGCGCGTGGTGTGCGATGTAGGACGTGCAATGGGACACTCTTTAACTTGACGCGAAATCCCTATAGTACGCGCGCGACTCGTCCGCTGACTTTGCCTTCTTGCCGCGCGACGGGCCTCCTGGGGGGTACCCGTTTGGCTCAGGAGTCTAGCCTGGTCTAAAGCACCCCATGCTGTCGAAACCACTCCTGCATGTGAGAGGCCCGATGCTTTGAGTCGCTGCTCTGCTGACAGACAAAGCCAGGTCGTGTGGCAGCCATGTCTACGGATACATAACATCTTCTAGAATCTAAGTCTATACTACGTATTCCTTAGTTCTCAAAGTCTAAGAAGAGCGCTCGCTGTGAAGTGGGTGGGAGTAGAATGTGATTGACTAAGCCTGAAACGAAGGTTGATACAGGTTTCTAAGGTCATCTGGAATGACAAAAACATATTACTGATGCATGACAGCAAGGATACTAGTAATGTACGGCACCACGAGAGGGAACGTTTTGATCCAAAGAATCAGCTGCCAATTGTGAAACTTGGCGGAGGCTTGATAAGGTTGCCTGGGTCAGTAGAAAATGGTACGATTCACACCTAATTAAGAATACTCCGCGGATAACTGCGAAGTGACCTCATTAAGGGAGACGGCCTAGGGGTCACAACACCACCCAAACATGTGTTCTAGACACGTAGAAATGGCAGTCAAATTGGAAAACCACACAACAAATTACAACATGAATAAAGGGGAAGTACTGTCAATCTAAAATACAAAAAAAAACAATCGAAATGACCCGTTATCACCAATCAACTATCACTAAATAGTTACAACCGAAAGATTGAACAAGGTATAAGAAACTGCAAAACTACACATTAGCTATGCCCTTCATGTGCCCCTTCTATGACTTTTCGGGACCCCCTGTACCACTTCGCAAGACCCCTGGTAAAAAGAAGCACCATGGGCCGTATGCACAAGCCCCACAGGTCTTAGGAGATATATCCCCTGAGTCGTATGCAACAAGCCCCGCAGCACTGAGGGGATATATCCCCTCGGGGCTTGTTGCATACGACTTTGGGGAGACAACGGAGGGGATGAATCCCCTACTCTCGACTAGGGGACTCATCCCCGACGGCTTTGGTCAGTTCGACTTCGACGCGTTAGCGTCGCGGTCGAGCTGACTCGGGATTTCGGTGATGAAATTCCCATAGGGAGCAAATCCTGCCAGTTAAGATTGCCCTCTTCTTCTTTGTGACGCTCAATTTAGGATAATTTCTACTGAGCGATTATTATTTCGGGGCACTTTGATTTTGCGATATTCGCGCTTCGAAAAAAGAAAACGGCTTCTGTAGAAGAAAACCTTCCGTGCTCATAATCAG